CGCATCTTGTAAAGTTTGATCATTTGCTCTGATACCATTTGTAACGACCCGCCCCAAAATATTTATTTCGGAAAATAATATCAGTAATAGGCCCAAACTATACTCTTGTTTATTTAACTACCCATAATCACTATTCTTTATCCAAATTCCTTAATTCCTGAACATTTATGAAACCATAATTTAGTTACCAAAATATACGATTAAATTCTCAAATAGAATCCCCAATTCCTTCTCTTATATCAACTTCCCAACAAAAGATAAATCTCGATTATTTAAGGCTGCATCTAATCCTTGTTAGACTACCTATGTACCCTTGAACGAGATCAAGCCTTTTGTAGATCACCATCCATTCTTTTATCCATTTCCGAAAATAGTCTAGTAACGGGAATTGGAGCCTTCTAGAGTGAAGATTAAATTTACAAAAATATCCCTAACTTCAAACGTTAATAACTCTCTCGTTATAATTATGTTTCACGAATGGTTTGCGCCTACACGCTCGTGAAGTCGAGCTCTATCCAAATATATCAAGAAATACGATAAAATATATGAGGATAAAATACGTCCTTGTATAATTACGTTAAGCCAACTAGGGGTATTTTTGTCCTTTTCACTTATCGATACAAATATCTGCCGTAATTATAAATAGGTCGTAATTACGAATACGACTACAAAATACTTATTTTAATATTCAAATTCAGGAACGGATTTTCACATTTTTCCCATTAAAATTTCCTTCACCATTTATTGATTTATTTTCCTATTTCCTTCCATATTCATAAACATAAATAATTAATTTATATATTTAAAATTTTCAAGGTATTACATTATCGTAAGCGGATGGCATATAAACTTTCTTTAATGAAGGCGACCTTAACTTCAAGTTATACTTGAGAAAAAAATTCATGGTAGTAGAATATCTCTTATAATTCATTGCATTTCATCAAGCCACAACTTGTAGATATTTTTTTTCTTCACAATGATGCTTACAGAAGGAGCAAAGAACATGTTTACCATATTATTCATGCTTCTTCAAATGAAATATAAAGTGAAAGACACATGATTCATTTAGAAAGTGATTTTAAATCCTTAGCAAAAATCCAAGTTAATTTTAAAAAACATTGGTAGTGCTTCTTGGAAGAATCCAATATCCATAAATAATTACTACACGCGATCCTTACAAGAATGATCGTCTGGTTTTTGTTAATTACACACGAATAATTTTTTAAAGAATAATATCTAAAGCCAGACTATTCCTTGAAATGCTTGGAATTTCATATGCTAGGACTATTATTGCAATTCACTTTGCAGCCAAAATTGAAGTTTGGTAGTAGACATAATATGGGAAGAATCAAATTAAAGCACTTTCATAATTTCATGTGTAGATGGAATCCGTGTTGGCCCATCTCGACCGTGCATGAATCCTGGGTAGATGAGCAATATTAAGAAACCCTATCAGCATTCTTCAAATGTATAGTGCCATCTAATCAATCCATGCATCGTATACCAATTTCAAACTGCTTTCTTACCGCCATAGGCCCATAGGTAGTGGAATTTTAGGCGTGGGAAATCCCAAATTTTAACTTCGTATTTTTAATTATGTATGATTAGACATTTTTTTCTTCTAATAGTAAGGAACCTACAATTTCCATCCCCAATTTTATAATTTGTTAAACTTTTATATTTCTTTGATTTTTTTTTCGCTAACAATTTTGGAATTTGTTTTTGTATAAGGTACAAACATTTTGATGTAAAATAATTTGAATTCCGAGAAAAATATTTCGTAGTGAAATATGAGAAAATTGGATTTTTATGGATTAGTGAATAAATGGATGAGTATTTGTAGAGTTTTGGAGGAGTTTGGTTGTTGAATATGATTTGAATTAATTAATAATATTACTTTGACTGTTGGATTTAAATTTAAGCCATTGAATCTTTTTATTACCGTTAATATTGATTAAATTGGATATAAGTCATTGAATTTGATGTAGTTAGGCTAGCCGCATTGGATCAAAACTCAAGAGGTACACTAGCCTTTGGGTGCTAGCAACGCTTTAATATGGGCTGCATAAAGCATACTTTCAGTCACATCCCTGCCCGAGGTCCACCACATATTCGGCCCGCTCCACCACCGTAGCATGATATTGTCCGCTTTGGGCCCCGACTACGCCATTTCGGTTTTATTTCTGGGAACTCACACGAGAACTTCCCAGTGGGTCACCCATCATGGGATTGCTCTCGCGCACTACTCGCTTAACTTCAGAGTTCCGATGGAACCTGAAGCCAGTGAGCTCCCAAAAAACCTCGTGTTAGGTAGAGATGGGAATACACATATAAGGATTACTCCCCTGGGTGATGTAGGATCTTACAATCCACCCCCCTTAAGGGGCCCAACGACCTCGTCGGCACACCACGGTCAGGGTTAAGCTCTGATACCAAATTGTCACATCCCAACCCTGGTGGGACCACCACATCCCGGGCCCGCTCCACCATCGTAGCACGATATTGTCCGCTTTAGGCCCCGACTACGCCCTCACGGTTTTGTTTATGGGAACTCACACGAGAATTTCATAGTGGGTCACCCATCATGGGATTGCTCTTGCGCGCTACTCGTTTAACTTCAAAGTTCCGATGGAATCCGAAGCCAGTGAGCTCCCAAAAGGCCTTATGTTAGGTATAGATGAGAATATATATATAGGATCACTCCCCTGGGCGATGTGGGATCTTACACTTTCCATGCGCTTGCTCGCAGACAATTCATCTCCCCTATTGCATCTGTTGTGCGAGCCGCTGAGTTGGTCTTCATGTGCTGTAGCAGACAAGCTGAGGGCTTCAGCCTACTTATTTCCTTATCCATCCGAAGGGCCTCAGTATTTATGTGAGAAATCTTACAGTGTAATAAGTTATACATATATTTTTCTTTTTCTATTTCTCACATCACACGAAAAATTTTACCATGCAACTAATCGTACATTTTTATCTCCACGTGAGGGATTCTTGCGTTTAACTAATCATACGTCTTTATATTTTTATCTCTCACATCAAGTGAGGGATTTAACTAGTTTTACATTGTCCTTTTTCTATCTCTTGTATAACTTGAGAGATTTTATTGTGATTATACATATATTTTTTTCTTTCTATTTCACACATCATGCGAGAAATTTCACCATGCAAACAATTGCATATGTGAGGAATTCTACCATTTAACTAGTCATAGATCTTTATATTTTTATCCATCCCTCAAGCGAGGGATTTACCATGCAATTTTATTCTACATTCCAAACTTCAATATTAAAAAAAAAAAAAACACTTATAAGTAAGCGCCGATAACAATACCATTACTTTTAAAAATAACTAGTTTTCTTATTTCCCTGCTCTATAGTTCCTCCTCATTTTCACTCTCTACTTTATAAGGGCATTTCTGCAATAATCATCACCATTGTGTCCATTGTTCTTTTTTTTGGGTTAATTACATAGTAGCCCCTCAGGTTTTAGATCTATTACAATCGCATACAACAACTTCAAAACATTTCACTTTCATACCTCAACTACTATTTTATTTCAATATAGTACATCTGTTACATTTTCCATCCATTAATCCGTTAAATGTTGACATGGCTGCCACATATATGCCACGTGGCTGCCAAATGTCTGCTACGTGGCAAATAAAATATATTTTTTATTTTTTTTGAAAAATCGGAATTTCTCAAAAAAATAATAATTTGAAACCCATATCCCCCACCCCCCAAGTGACCTCCCCAGAAACCTACAACAAGAAAAAGAATAAGAAGAAGGGAGAAAAAAGAAAAAAAAAAGCCGAAGAATAAGAAGAAGGAAAAAAAAAAGGGATACCCATATCCCTCACCCCTAGTGACCTCCCCAGAAACTTGAAACAAGAAGAAGAAGAAGAGGGGAGAAAAAAAAAAGAAAAAAAAAGCCCCAGTCCGTCCCACCCTAGCCACCTCTTTCTCCCATCCCTCATCACGCACCCTCAAAAAATTGCACTCGAGATTAGGTGGATCTACCACAAAACCAGTCCAAAAATCATCTCAAACTCAAAATATTTTCAAAACTCATCCACATTGAAAATCACGAGATCTTAGCGCGCGCCCCACGCGGGGGGGGGGGTGGTCGCCGGAAGGTAACCAGGGTGAGGAAGGGATTTGGCGGCGCGGTTGGGGGGGTGTGGTCCCCGAAAGGTAGCCCGGGGGAGGAAGGGAGGTGGGTCGCGACAGGGCGGGGGGGAGGGAAGGGTTCTGGGCTTTTCTTCTTCTTCTTCTTCTTCTGGCGACGCGGCGCGGGGGGGGGGGGGTGTGGTTGCTGAAAGGTAGCCTGGGGAAGGAAGGGAGGTGGGTCGCGAGTCGCAACGGGGCGGGGGGGGGGGAGGGAAGGGTTATTCTTCTTCTTCTATTTCAATTTTTTTAGGTTTCTAGGGGATGGGTGAAGGATGAGGGATATAGGTTTCTTTATTTTTTCATTTTTTTGAGAAAATTTAGGTTTTAAAAAAAAATTAAAAAAATTATTTTATTTGCCACGTGACAGACATTTGGTAGCCACTTGACATATATGTGGCGGTCACGTCAGCATTTAATGGATTAATGGATGTAAAATGTAACGGAGGTACTATATTGAAATAAAATAGTAGTTGAGGTATGAAAGTGAAATGTTTTGAAGTTGTTGTATTCGATTGTAATGGACCTAAAACCTAATGGGTTACTATGTAATTTACCCTTTTTTTTTTTAGTGAAACGATAGAGTTAATAAGTTAAATGTTAGATTATCCACCGATGAGATTCGAACCCACACCATCATGCAAGGTCACAACACATTTCCACCACTGTGGTCATTGTTCTTTCATTTCAAAACTGAAAAGCTAAAAAATAAGCAGGAAAACCCAGTTAATCAAAAAAGAAAAAGGAAAAAGGAAAATTTGCAAAACCTTCTCGTCTAAAAAATCTGACACTCTCTCTCTCATACTGTCCCTAAAGTCTTTCATAAATTACTTGTTCCCTTGGTATAAAAAAGACAGCCAAAAATAATGGCGGTTGTGCTTTTGATTGATTGAAGCTGAGAGAGAGAGGTAAAGCGATACTGGCAAAAGCCAGCAAGCACTAGTGGTGCACTAGAACAATCACCACCACCACCACCGCTTACCACACCCAGCAGCAAACCTTGTGTTTCCATTACTGGAAAGTTTGGAAGCAAACCCAACTCTTGGATTCTCCATCTGTGCATATATTCTTCCTCAACAGTCTCTGTTGCTGTCATCTGTGAGCCTATTTTGTGCAGAGTTGATCATCGCGTACCTTTCAGTTTCCTCTCAGAATAATGCACAGGCCATTTGATTGCATCTTGCTTTTACTTGGGCTCCTTGCTGTTTGAGATCTGGTCCTTTCCTGCTTTCATGGTGGCACAAGCAACTTTGTGTTCTGAGGCTGAGATCTGAGGATTCTGTTAGCACTGTTGGGGTTTTAGGCTTCTGGGTTTTGCCGGGTTATTGCTGTAATTGCTCGGTTTCTGAGATTGGACTATCTGAGAGTGTACAATCTGTGACTTTGAAGCTCTGTTAGTCACAAATGGTGATGTGGGTTTGTTGAAGATTGTGGCATGAAGTCTTTAGTTGCAGATTGGACATTTTGGGGGGTTTGATTGAGGCTGGCTTAAGTGCGAATGAGGCTGAAATTGATCGTTTTTATCAGCAAAACCAGTTTCCATTGAAGTTTCAGGACTTGGGGAATTGAGGGTTCTTTTGTTTAACTTTGCATGAATGTGAAGCTTCATGCTTTTGTGATTTCCTGGTAAAGTTTTGCATGAAAGTTTGTTTCTTTGGGGGGTTTGAATGTGTGATGGTGAAATATTATATTTTGCAGTAAAAAAAAAGAGGGGAAGAAAAGGATTGTCCTGTAATTTGGGTGAATTTTGGTGTTAAATTGTTGTGATTGTGACTGGGGTTGAATAACTTTTTGTGGAGTCAATTTTTAGGCCTCCAGTGTTTTTGAATCTCTGCGAATAATGAGGCTCTCTTCTGCTGGTTTTAGTCCTCAATCCCAAGAAGGTATGGTCAATTAATGTTGCTTGCAGAATTGTTCTGTGTGTATTTTTATTTTTTGCCAGGATTTTAAACTGAGATGTAGATGTAGTTGTAATATGTTGTATGGATTTGGGATGTTGGTAGTTCTGTTTGGTTGCCAAGAAATTGTGGGGAAAAATTAGATTTTAGAATTTTCATAACCCAAGTTAGCAGTTGTGTTAAGCTCTCCTATCTCTCTCTCTCTCTCTCTCTCTCTCTGTTTTCTACTTTTCCTTTGCTCCTGGAGACCCAAATCCCAGAAAGCTTCTTATTTATTGTTTGGTTTCTTCTCTTTCCACCATTTTCTCAGTTGGCAGGGGCTTGATTTGGCTTACTTTCTAAATTTGGAAGATAAAAAATTAGTGTGAAATTTGAAAGTTTACCATAATTTCCAGAAGTCCATATATGGAAAATTTATTTCCCTCCATAATAAGGCCCTCGGATGACATTTTAGTATTTCTTTGTGTTCTTTAATTGGTGGATTTGTAATCGAATTCTGAAACCAAGTGTTGGCTTTAATTGGTATTCATTTTTCTTGAATTTCATTTTGCAGGGGAGAAGAAAGTTTTGAATTCTGAACTTTGGCATGCTTGTGCCGGTCCACTTGTTTCTTTACCCGCTGTTGGGACCCGTGTAGTTTATTTTCCTCAAGGTCACAGCGAACAGGTTTGTATAAATAATTTGTCAGTTCTTCCTTGCAAATTTAGCGTGTCGTTTTATTTGTCAATTTATGTTTGCGAAAGGATGAATTTGTTTTTGCCAACTTTTTATGCAACAGATGTGATATTCTGTGTGATCAATCTTCTGTAAATGTTCTACTTTTTGTTCGTTTTCCTTCTATGCAAACTGTAATGCTTCATAATGTAGGTTGCGGCATCAACCAACAAGGAAGTGGACGCTCATATTCCTAACCATCCAAGCTTGCCACCGCAGCTTATCTGTCAACTCCACAATGTGACAATGCATGTAAGGCTTGTTTGGTTTGGTTAGTTCTGGTCCTTAGTATTCCTATATGCTGGTTTCTAAAGGTTCGATGTTGTTAACTGCAGGCAGATGTTGAGACAGATGAAGTGTATGCACAAATGACCTTGCAACCGCTAAATCCGGTATGCCACTTTGCCTTGATTGGCTTTGAAATTTTTGGTTTGCCTTGATTGGCTTTGAAATTTTTGGTCTTTATCGTTCGCTCTCATGGTGTATATAACCTTCATCCGCAGCAAGAGCAAAAGGACGGCTACCTTCCAGCAGGGTTGGGCAGCCCAAACAAACAGCCAACAAATTATTTTTGTAAAACCTTGACAGCCAGTGACACAAGTACCCATGGTGGTTTCTCTGTTCCTCGCCGGGCAGCTGAAAAAGTGTTTCCTCCATTGGTAAATTCTCTAATGAACTATATGCAATATGACCATCACTTTTGAGCTAGTTACTAGGGTTTGTACAATAGTTCTGGCACTTGGTCTCGGGTAAAAATGATGGTTGATGGTTCTGTCTGAATATTATAGTATTTTCCATGTTTTGTTAATCTCGATTTGTTTCTGAATTTATATTTTTTGACATGCAGGATTTCACCCAACAACCTCCAGCGCAAGAGTTAATTGCAAGAGATTTGCATGATAATGAATGGAAGTTTAGACACATTTTTCGGGGTGAGTTTGCTAAGGACAATTTTCATGAAAAGTGGAGAAAATATTAAACCTCTCTTCGTATCTTGAAGGAGTGAAATAGACTGAGAATTAAGTTTGACTTTAGATGAGTACAAACTTTAACACTTGTTGATGCTTTCCGGCCATTGCAACTTCTTTACTTTCCTGACTTGAATAGTGAGAATATCATGTTACAAAGCCTTTCATTCTATGAAAATTATTGACATGTTTGTTGATTTTTTTTTTCTATTTTAGGCCAGCCCAAAAGGCACCTCCTTACAACGGGTTGGAGTGTTTTTGTAAGTGCTAAAAGACTTGTTGCTGGTGATTCAGTCCTTTTCATCTGGTAGGCTTTCCACCCGTTCACTACTGTGTTGATTTGTTTTGGTCATATAAATAATGTGATCTTTTATAATGTACATACTATTTTTTTGCCTGCTTGCAGGAATGAAAAGAATCAACTACTTCTTGGTATCCGGAGAGCTAACCGACAACAAACTGTGATGCCTTCATCAGTTTTATCAAGCGATAGCATGCACTTGGGACTTCTTGCTGCTGCAGCTCATGCAGCTGCAACAAATAGTCGTTTCACCATATTTTATAATCCAAGGTATGAGTCTATGTAGGCTGATGATACCAGGTCTTTTAGGTTTATCACTTCCTTTGAAACTTACGGCACCTTTCATGCAGGGCTAGCCCATCTGAGTTTGTCATTCCCCTGGCCAAGTACATTAAAGCGGTCTATCATACCTGCATTTCTGTTGGCATGCGTTTTCGGATGTTGTTTGAAACAGAAGAATCAAGTGTCCGCCGGTAGGTCCTAAACTTTTATTTTGTTAAGGATGTTATAGACGATGACTAGATAATTCCAAATGCTTCTTCTCTCCTTTCAATAAGTCTTGGATGCCTGTAATCTTGTTCTGAAAAAATAGAATAATAAATTTATGGGTTGGGTGTTGGTACATGTAACACTGCTAGCGTCCTTTATATTATTTTTATTCTAGAAGTTGCAAGTTTTATTGGTTGATATCTGACGATTATACATTATCAGCTACATGGGAACAATAACTGGCATAAGTGACCTAGATCCAGCTCGGTGGCCTAATTCACATTGGCGTTCAGTCAAGGTTTGTTGTATAATTATTAATAATTATACATATTCATCTATATATATGTAGATCTGTATTGCATATCGTAAACTGAATATTTTTTTTGATAGATCCGGGTTAAGTTCCTTCAGAATATTTTTTTACATCTTTTGCAACTTTGCTGGAACATTCATGGATAATCTTAACTTAATTCAGGTCGGTTGGGATGAATCCACGGCAGGGGAGAGACAGCCAAGAGTCTCACTGTGGGAGGTTGAACCATTAACAACATTTCCCATGTATCCATCTCCTTTCCAGCTTAGGCTTAAGCGACCATGGACACCTGGACTACCCTCTTTCAATGGTATGCTCATTTACTGCTAGATCTAGGCTATTTAACTCCCGAGTTTATATCTTCTAGAATTGAGGCAGTAAGAAACTCTTTAATTCTCTCAGGTATGAGGGACGACGACCTTGGCATGAATTCTCAACTCGTGTGGCTTCAAGGAAACAATGGAGACCGTGGAATGCAATCGCTGAACTTTCCTGGCATGGGGGTCACACCATGGATGCAGCCAAGGCTTGATGCTTCTATGATTGGCTTGCAATCAGACGTGTACCAAGCTATGGCTGCTGCCGCACTTCAAGAGATGAGGGCCGTAGATCCTTCCAGACCGCTACCTACATCCCTTCTGCAGTTTCAGCAGCCGCAAAGCCTTCCTAATAGTAATAGGTCTGCTGCCTTAATGCAGCCCCAGATGGTGCAAGAATCTCATTCTCAACAAGCCTTTCTCCAAGGTGTTCAAGAGAACCATCGCCAGTCACAGCCTCGGGTGCAAACTCAGTCCCACCTTCTTCAGCAGCAATTGCAGCATCAGAATTCTTTCAGTAATCAGCAGCAGCAGCAATTAGTTGATCATCAGCATATTCCAAGTGCCGTCTCTTCCTTGACTCAGTTTGCTTCCGCCTCTCAATCCCAGTCGCCATCTTTGCAAGTTGTCACAACGCTATGCCATCAACAGAGTTTTTCTGATTCTAATGGGAACCCTGCTACCAGCACTGTTATATCTCCCTTGCACAATCTCATGGGTTCATTTCCACAGGATGAATCATCCCACCTGCTTAACCTGCCTAGAACCAATCAATTAATATCTTCTGATGGCTGGCCATCAAAGCGAGCAGCGATTGACCCTCTTCTTTCCTCTGGAGTTTCTCAATGTGTTCTGCCCCGGGTGGAACAGTTTGGACCTCCCCACACTACTATGTCTCAGAATTCTATTTCGTTGCCACCCTTTCCAGGGAGAGAGTGCTCATTAGACCAAGAAGGTGGTACTGATCCTCAAAGCCATCTTTTATTCGGTGTCAATATAGAGTCCTCACCTCTTATAATGCAAAGCGGGATGTCAAATCTTAGAGGAGTCGGCAGCGATTGTGGTTCTACAACCATGCATTTTCCTTCTAATTACATGAGCACTGCAGGCTCTGATTTTTCAATTAATCCAGCAGTCACACCTTCGAGTTGCATTCATGAATCGGGTTTCCTGCAGTCTTCAGAAAATGCAGACAATGGAGACCCGCTAAACAGAAATTTTGTTAAGGTAAGTTGCAATGACCGGTTTAAGGTTATATTACGGTTATATTATTTTGTAAAGTTAAATTTTCAACTAGACCTCAAGTGATATGATAGTGGCCTTAAAATGTTGTCATCTTCTAAACAAAACCATAATTATTTGCAGGTTTATAAGTCAGGGTCCTTTGGGAGGTCACTTGACATTACCAAGTTCAGCAGCTACCAAGAGCTACGTAACGAGCTTGCTCATATGTTTGGCCTTGAAGGCGAGTTGGACGACCCTGTGAGATCAGGCTGGCAGCTTGTATTTGTTGACCGGGAGAATGATGTTCTTCTCCTCGGGGATGACCCCTGGCCGTGAGTTCCCATTTCTATAATACGATTTTTTTGTTGCAAACTTGGGCAAATACTCTTAGGCTCCTAGCTATGAATTGTAGGATAAAAAAAATGCATGAGTCCACTTGAGTCTGAACTTTCGGAGACTTAAAACAAGAGTTCCTCTAGCTGTAAGTTGTGCAGAGTTAAGACTAGGCGTTGTTGAGAAAACTTGTTTAGTATTTTTGTCATTGCTTAAATATTGTTCCAAGTAAGAACGAGTTGATTTCCATGTGGACTAGGCTTCCAAATTTGTAGCGAATGACTTGCATATATTTAGGCTCGATTGAAATATTGACCGCTTGACAGTAAGCTTTCCGGAGCACCCCAAACCACTTCCGTCTGAATTCTGTTATTGATTTTCTGACTCTAGATTCATTGTGTTTATGCTGATACCAGGGAGTTTGTAAATAGCGTGTGGTGTATCAAAATACTCTCACCACAAGAAGTTCAGCAAATGGGAAAACGAGGCCTTGAACTTCTAAAGTCAGTCCCAAATCAGAGGCTCTCAAACAATAGTTGCGACGACTATGGAAGCCGGCAGGACTCAAGAAACTTGAGCAGCGGGATAACGTCCGTGGGGTCACTCGAGTATTGAACAACTTAACCGATTAAGATACCATTCTCTCTTATGTAATATTTGCAGCTCCTCCCAACTTCTCCAACCCTTTTAAGAGTTGGGAGGGCGGCTTAATACTGTAGCTTTAAAGCTTAGTTTATATATAAGCTAATACTGTAATTAAACGATGCGTATCTCTTTTCGTTATTTTCTTGTATTCAAATACGTACAACGCATATGTAGTATGAGACTTGAATGTTTGTGAAAATAGCCTGAAAAGGGTATATTGCCGTAAGTTCGTGACTGGATGGCATTCTCTCGTTGTATATGAACCGTGAGTTAGTGTCTGCATGGCTTTCTCTAAGCAATATTGAACGAGGGGGAACTGAACTCGGGACTTCGGCTGCAAGAGTGAATGCACTACATACTACATGCATATCAATATACCTATTTTTCTTTTGTTTCATATATGCAGATGATTCATGGTTCATACGTGCATTCAAAAGCAGAATGGCATGATTACTTTTCTTGATCTCAAAAGTCTAAACCAATGACTTTCATGTTTTATCAAAACCTTCGTTCGCAATTATTTGAGGTCCCATGCAGTGTCGGTATGCATGTTCTCAAAATTAAACACTACTTTTTTTTCTTCTTTCATTTTTTATTCGAGTAATGTTATACTTATCATCTATTTATACCATCTTTTTAATAGAGGTAGCGTCCACCAGCACATGTATGTTTCATTTCCATTAGAGATGTACAAATAAACGGTAAGAATATCATTTTATTAAATAAATTGTCAAGCATGTATATTTATAGCGTCAAATAAAGGGTCGAACAAATGAGTTCAAATCTTTTGCACCAAAAATCCTCGGTGGTGTCTTTGTGTCCTATCTACTTCAGTGACACATGTTCTTTGAACTTAATTTATCTTTAGTTTTTAATTTTTTTTGTTGAACAAATAAGTTGAAGAGCTAACACTGTTAAGCGTGATTCAAATGAATGAACATATGTTAACAAATGAGATAAGTCACAAAGAGATCATATAGGGTGCATTTTGGTTCAAAAGATGGTCAAAGAATATAACTTGGTCATAGCATGTACTTATCAGATAGTGTATATATTAAGTAAATGCATGTACAGTAACTAACGTTTAATTTCAAGTATGACGGTCAAAAAAGTTTACCAATAAAGTGATTGTGGACCTGGTGGTGAATGAGTAAAGGTGAAATTGATGGACAATGATTGTCTGCCCTTTTAGTTGTGGTGCCCTTCCATGCCCTCCTATTTTGTGCGGTCACGGTTAAGCCACGTTAATATTTTATATTTTAATTATTTTTTGTCTTATTATCTTATTAAAAAATTAATATAAAATATTGACGTGGCTTAACTGTGACCGCACAAAATAGGAGGGTATGGAAGGGTACCACAACTAGGAGGGCAGACAATCCAAGTCCGAAATTGATAGTTAAGGTCTCGGTTTTCTGATGCATGTTGTGGGGCTATCTACACAGATGGGACTTTTAAGAGGGATGGAATGGTGACAGAGGTAGGGCACCCTCCTCAACAATGATAGGACACTGCCCTTGGAAAAGGTGGGTTGGCCATACAATTATATGAAGGGGCAGCGACTCAGTAACCCTTTCCTTGAGCTACTATTGTAATTTGCATGGTCAGTTTTCTGCAAGACCCCATCTGCTCTGTCATCCACAGCAGCATCACTGCACCAAAGTCTCCATCCATCTTTTGTGCAAACACAGACAAGATGAGCATCAATGCTTTAAGTCACCTTTATTGTGTCTACCTGAATGAAGCTCAGTCCAAAGCCTTTGGAGAAAATAAATTATATATAACCTCAACATTTTAAGGAAAACTAACAAAAAGAAATTTCAAAAACTTTAGTTTTAATAAAAAGGTAAAATAAATATGTAAGTGAAGAGTACTAAGAGTGACTTTTGAAGATAAAAATATCCTTAACGTTAAAAATAAATAGTACCGAGAGTGTTTCATTAAAATTTCCAAACATTTTATTGTTAAGAGTATTTTTTTATATTTTAATTTCTTCCAAATGTTGTGTCCTAGACTCCTAGTTGATGCTTTAATCTTGATTTCGAAGGGGGAAAACATAGTGTGATGGTAACGGACCCGGCTTCTCTGCCCTCCCAGTTCTCATACACTCTCATCCCCTCCTATTTTGTGCGGTCACTGTTAAGCTATGTTAACATTTTATATTGATTTTTTTATAGAGATAAGACAAAAAATAATAGTGATATAAAATGTTGACGTGACTTAACCGTTATCGCACAAATAGAAGGAGATGGAAGTGTATGGGAACTGAGAGGGCAGAGAAGCCAGGTCCGATGGTAACACCCTGTGAGCGTTAGCATGAGTACACTTCATAGTATAGTATGTTGGGTTAGAGATCGTGTGCTAATGACTATATACGTGTCTTAACCTTACGACATGTTTAGGGCTTGTTTGGTATCCTATTTGAAATTTTTTATAATTTCTCAAAACATTTCTTAAGAATTTTTCTTGAAAACAATTTTCTTTAAAACTCAAAAACTTGTTTGGTATGTGATTTAAATTTTTTAAATCTTACAACTATAACTGGACAAAAAGATCCATAAAAAGGGGGTCGAGAGAGAAAGAGGAGAGAGGATGAAAGAAAGTAAGAGATGATTGGAGGAAAGAGAAAGAAGTGAGAAGATCGGAGGAGATAGAGAGGAAGATGAGGGAGAGAAATAATCGAAAGGATGAAGAGAACGGATTGGAGGAGAGAAGAAATGTTAAACAAAAAAAAGAGAAGGGGGAGAGAGACAGAAGAAAAGAGAGATAGATTTGGAGTGAGAGGGGAGGAGGGAGAGAAAAGAAAGGAGTGAGTTTAAGCTTAAAAACTCTAAAAACTCATTTTTTTTGTTTTTAGATAATAGACTATATTTTTGAGTTAGTCTTGAGTTTAGTTTTTGAAAATAGTCATACCAAACAAGTTTTTAAGGCCTAAAACTTGAAAATTGTTTTTGAGTTTAAAAAATTGGATTCAAGTAGAATACCAAACATGCTCTTAGTTATTTGGAACGGAAAATGTCACAAATCAGGGAGGAAAAACATAATGGAACTTATATTTGATTCTTTAGGCATCTGATTACAAATTTCAAAGTGAAACTTCCATTTTTCTTCCAATTTTATATGCGTTAATAAACGCACGAAGACGTTAAGAATCAAATAATTTCGATACCTAATTTTATCAACAGCAAGAAAGTAAAGAATCGGGATGATTATATAATTTCAACACCTAATTTTAGTAAACATATCACGAGTGGCACGAATAAAAATTTCTTTGCTTGCAAGGATTGTTAATGTAAACATAAGCAACCCAGAAAGTATGATCATGGAGGGAATTATTATTTAGTTTATCAGAAAAACAAGTTCCAAAAGTGGATGCTGAAAATTGTATGTTAAGCCATGTTTGAAGCATGCCAAGAGGTGTCTAGGTTGGAACTTTCTTAGGTGCTATGGAGTATTCAATACTCATAATGTTTTAGCCATTAAATTTAACAATAAAACACTTAAATTACAGAATACTCCAGAGCATCAATAAAGTTTTGGTCTAGATTATGTGGCCTGACCTAGGGTATTGTTGGCCTAGGTCATAATGTTTTAACGGTTAAATTTAACAATAAAACACCCAAATTACCGAATACTCCAAAGCATCAATAAAGTTTTGGTCTAGATTATGTGACCTTTCCTAGGGCATTGTTGGCCTAGGTCATAATGTTTTAACCGTTAAATTTAACAATAGAACACTCAAATTACCGAAAGAACATCAATAAAGTTTTGGTCTAGATTATGTGGCCTGGCCTAGGGCATTGTTGGTGCCAAATATAAAAGAGCCCTCCAACGCTAGGGGTGTGCACAAGCATGTGGGTTTTGATTAAACAATACACAAAGGGGAAAGCTTTTTGTCATATGAGGTAGGAAGGCTTACTTGGGAATTGGAAGGTGTCCTATTGAATTTCAAGTGGGACTGGGCACACCTATATCCAGGTATCTTAGGGCTAGGATCCCAGGACTTTCTAGACTGCTTCTTTTTGGGTTGAAATAGGTTCAAGAATTTGATGGTAGTGGGCTTAATTTAAGGTAAACCGACATTCAACTTGAGGTAGTCTCATATGCAGATCCTAGTTGTGCGCATCTAAGTGCGGGTGTGAGAAGCCAGTCCTGGACTCAATATTGTTGGTCGACCGACGACTCAATACTGTTGGTCGACCAGCCACTCACACCCCCTACATAATGCACGCTGTTGAGAGTTTGAAAGAGAAAATTTCCGCCTTCCACGTAGCAGTCTAGCGACAAAAACAATCTCTAGAAAAAGATTATGATAATTTAGCTTAACCTCATAAGATTTTACTCTAAAATTGCTTTTTGATTTCTCTCTCAACAGTTCCTATTTATTCTCTTCTTTTCCTCCAATCTCAGATAGTTGGGGGGGAGATGCAAACAATGTTGGAACATCGATGCCTCAACATTCATATGCATCTACTGAAAAATCTACTTCATCTAACAACACACTGGTTGCTCTCTGGATATAAAGTTTGTATGTCACACACAAACTCCTTCAATCATAATGTACTGAAAACATACGCGCTCCTCGTACGAAGCTTTTCTTCTATATTTTGTTTCAGGTTTTATCACAACCAACCGCAACAAATGTAATGAGATGATGGCATTCGTCCAGTCTGGCGGATGTATTCTGCTTGAGCTGCAGTTTTCTCTGCACTTTGATTCTTTCTAGCTTCAGCCGCTGCCCGTTTCTCTTCGGATATTTGCCTTGCAAGTGCTATCTTCTTCATTATCTTGGATTGAGCTTGCGCTCTCATTTGTTCAACTTGAGCCTGAAAAGAACTCCTGAATTAGTTACGACAAATAAAAGTTTCCAACAACAAAATCGTCCGTATCAAGTCCATATCGTTACGAAGTACAAACACATTTTCTTGAGAGTCAAGAAAAGCATAAATCACAATACTTCCCAATCGCCGGGTATAAAGTTAATAACTGGAGCTCACTGAACCAGTTCAATACAATTCAACAGAAATATCGGCCAGGGTTTCAGACTCGAAAATAGAACAGTTCTGCTGACTGGAGATGCGAAATGAAAAGAACTTTAAATACCTCTATTCTCCGCATCTCTGCTTCGAGTTTTGCCTTCTGCTGACTTTCCCAGGCTTGGATTTGGATTTCATCGCGCTTGTATCTGAGAAATGTTAGCATTCTCAAGTCATGTTAGGATGGCAG